ATGTTCAGCAGCCATTATTCCAGTCTTCAGTGTCACATAAATTTTTTTTGTAACATTATAAATGTTTTTATTGTCACGTTATCTCAGGAAATCAGTGAGATCATCTATGAGAAGATATAATTTTGTGCTCAGATGGAGGCATCTACTGAACAATAAAATACATTTTATATAGGTGCTGTGATAATGCTTGAGAGGAATTCTTGCCTGTCCCCAATAAAATCTGGATGGGAGATGGCTGCGTCCTGGCTCCCTTTACCCCTCTGATGCAACTGACGCACCATTCGGTACAGCTCCACCTAGAGTTGTGGAAAAAACAATGATTAGAGTCATAAATGTATAATGAGATGTTAATCAATGGGTTAACAAGTGTGCTTGAGTCACCTTGTCTTTTTGCTGGAATGGCCGTATATTATAAAGTCGAGAGGTGGGGAACAGAGGGGGAGGGTGACTGAACAACTCACTGCTGGTCCCCACAGGCAGAAGCATCTGATTCACAGAGGCAGACAAAACAAGAACAAGACAGGATAAGATAAAAGAGACTGAAAAAACTACAGCAAATTAATCTGCCAATTTATTTTAATTTAATTAAATTCATAACTGAATTTTAAACTGAATCATTAATTATATAATTCCTACCTGCACCTCTCCAGATAGTCCCCCTTTAAACACCCATGGCTCCGCCTCCACACCATGGAGCTCCGCCCCTGAGGAAGCTCCACACCCTGTGAACAATCCCAAACATCAAGAGTATCAATCCACTGCAGGAACTAGTAGGTTTGTACAAATCAATCAATTGTGTTATTTGAATATGCATATATTAATTTGATGTATTTGACATGTACAAGTCTCTTGTGTGTTTGCTACTACTAATGTGACATGTTTTGATGCATCATATCTGAATATACACTACTCTTCAAAAGTTATTTTAATGTTTTTGAATAAAGTCTCTTATGCTTGCCAAGGCTGCATTTATTTGATCAAAAAAATAGAGTAGTATTGTGAAATATTACAATTTAAAATAACTTTTTTCTACTTTAAAATATTTTAAAATTAAATTTATTCATGTGATTGCAAAGCTGCATTTTCAGCAGCCATTACTCCAGTCTTTAGTGTCAAATTCTGATATTTTGATTTAGTGCTGAAGAAACATTACTTATCATTATCAATGTTGAAAACTTGTGCTGCTGAATATTTTTGTGGAAACTGTGATAACGGTTTTTCAGGATTCTTTGATGAATATAAAATTCAGAAGAACAACATTTATTTGAAGTAGAAATATATCTTAGAAATATGCTACAATGTATAGGTGCATCGTGCATGTTTAACACTCACAGTGGAAGCAGTTCTTCCAGGAGCCAAGTGGAGAACCTTCATTCAGTATACGACCCTCTGTGAAAGAAAATATGCTTGTGAGAAGATGGGAGATGAGTTCATTCATTTTTTATTAATCACAGTGGGGGAAAAGACCTACATGACAAGACAAATCATCCATACTGTCTCTCTCACCTAGCCAACAGATGAAAGCCTTGGCTACCAGCAGGGTGTTTCTCAGGTCCCAGATGTAAGGGTAAAGATCGTAGAGAAGAGCCCTATTGATGCTGTTCACAACAGCACTGTGCAGTAATGCCACATCATCACACGCAGCGAGGAAACGGCCAGCACGGTCCCGCCATTCCTCTACCTGAGAGAGCAAGAGAAACATTAATAAAATGTTTGTCCATAATCCATGTTGAGCCATAACTATAATTTCAACAGCATCCGCTTTATTTAAAACAGATGAAAATGGCACCTGAATCAGTAGTAAATATATTTAATAGAAAGGATGTTTTGACCTTCTGTGACGAGACCTTCTTGCCGTTGCCATTGACACTGACGCAGTGACAGTTGGCTTTGAGCCACGTGAGGTCCTGCAGCAGATTCTGAGCGGGTGGTCCGTGTTCGTGCGGCAGGTAGTACAGGCCTACAAGCAGCCGGACCTGGGCCTCGCTGAGAGGAACGCTTCCAGAACACAGTCCTCTTCTAGGCGTCTTTTCATGACTGAAGCTCCTGGAGACCTGGTTCTCCCCAGCTTTCAGATCCTGGTTCATAACAGGGTCTGCTGGGATTTCATCGCTAGCAAGAGCCCCTGTGCTCTGGGAAGAGGTTATGGGACATTTAGGCTGGGCTCCATGTTGATTGTCTGAGCTATCGGAGGACTTTGATTTAACAGAGAGCATTGAGGGCTTGAGGTCTGTTGGCCTCACCTGACGTCCTAAAAGAAACAGTGAGCAATAATCTAAAAATAAACGTTTATTCATGAAAATTAGAAATGTTGCCTTTGCAACTAGCTGAAATAAAATAAGTTAAAGTACCAAAATTGGTGAAACTAACACTGAAATAAAAATTAAAGCTCAAGAGAAATATATAAAAAAAAAATAATAATAAAGATACATTACAACTAAAAAAAACAAAACGTGCATGAAATTACTAAAACTTAAGCTAAAATTAAAATTGAAAATATAAAAATAAAAGCTAGTTCAAATGTATTAATAAATACCATAATAATATATAAATAACAAAAAAAATCATGTTTTTAGTCATTATAACATTTTATGAAATAACAAATAAAAAGCTAAATATATTTAATGTACATAAATCACTTTTCAAATTTACAAATAAATAGATGTTTTTTTAAATAGATGTTTTTAGGATGCTGTACCAGGCTGTAGAGGAAGGCTGAGCTCCTTCATCCAGTCTTGCAGGGCAGCTGACAACACTCTGTCCACACTATAGGCCTCTTCATCACCTACAGAGGTCATACTGGGTCAGCAAGGGGCAGAATGTTCCTCTATAATCCTATGGAGTGCTACTGTATTCAGAGTTTAAAAACTTTAATTTTTTACATTTATAAATTTGGCAGATGCTTTTATCCAAAACAATTTACATTCCATTCAAGATATATATTTTAACATATAACATATTATGCTTGCCCTGGGAATTGATCTCATAATCTTGACATTTCTATATCCATACTCCAATATTTAAGTTTCTCTCTGTTCTCATTCCACTCTATCCTCCATTCTGCTTTCACCTTTCCCCTCCTCTTTTCCTTCTTTATACCAGCTTCCAAGGGTATGCAGAGGGATGAAATTGGCTTCAAATTCGCAGTTCGGATTTAGCAGCAGACCCCTCAGATGGGCCCTGAGTCCGGGGGGGCGGCCCTTAAAAGGCCCCAGGAAGACACGTCGGGAGTCATAATCATTAGCATGGAGGTTATCCCAAATGAGGGGTGGCCGTCGAAGCACTGACTGGACCTCAGCTAGTGATTCAGGACTCAGTTCCCGTGATATCACCTTATTCCCTATAGGAGAGTGATGACCAAATATGTGAATGTTAGAAATGTGGTTTCTGTACAAACTGACACTGAGTGTGAATTTTTAAAGGGCACGTGGAAAATGTCCCTCACCGGTCCAGATGACAGAGATGCCAGGGAGAAGATTCTCCCCAATAGTCAGCAGGTAGGGAGACTTTGACACACTAGGAGTGCAGAGAGAACTACAGTACTCTAGAGAGAAAAGAAATAACAGCACAGTACTGTTTGGGGGAAAGAAGGACAGAACAATTTAAGAAAAGACAGAGAATGATGATGAGGGTTTTAAGACAGGAAGATCAGTGTCAGATCATCCAAAATGTAGATAAGTTTGTTTCGTTATTGAAACGGATTTGGAGAAATTTAGCATTACATCACTTGCTCACCAATGGATCCTCTGCAGTGAATGGGTGCCGTGAGAATGAGAGTCCAAACAGCTGATAAAAGCGTCACAATAATCCACAGGTAATCCACATGACTCCAGTCCATCAAATAACATCTTGTAAAGTAAAAGCTGCATGTTTGTAATAAACAAATCCATCATTAAGGCATTTTTAACTTCAAATCGTTGCTTCCTCAAGTCTGAATCAGGAGAGAAATATATACAGATCAAGCACTGCTCATAAGCAAAAACAGTACAAAAGAGTTGTAAACAAATATGCTGGTGAATTTTGATGTGAGAGGAAAAAAGGGGATGGACTTTTTCACTGGAGGAGGAATTAGTATAGATTATGGATTTATGGATTATGGATATTTTGGCCAGAAGCTGTAGTTTAAAGTTAGATACCTCAATGATGGATTTGTTTCTTACACACAGATGTTAATTGATGGACTGGAGACATGTGAATTACTTGTGGATTACTGTGATATTTTTATCAGCTGTTTGGGCTCTCATTCTGATGGCACCCATTCACTGCAGAGGATCCATTGATGAGTAAGTGATGTAATGCTACATTTCTCCAAATCTGTTTTGATGTCGAAACAAACTCATGTACACATTGGACAGCCTAAGAGTGAATACATTTTTAGCCAATTTTAATTTTTGAAGTATTCCTTTAAGGTATCATTAAGTAAATGTGTCACTCCATTAAACAGAATTTTATTCTGTAATGAACTAGGCTTGATATATTTATGCATTAGTTTACCAGTGGGACAGAATAGGAAGACAGGTGGTTCCCCCAGGAAATGGAAGATCTCATTGGCCACAGTGACCTGGGCATGAGCGAATGAGGAAAAGGCCTCTGTATCTGACTGGCACATGGAGTGATCAATGTCATCGAATAGGAGGGCAAAAGCCTGACAGCCCAGGTCTGACACCTAGTGGTGAAATTAAAGAAAATAAGGTGTTCATGAACACATTCTCGTCAAACAGTACAACGGTTGTGCAAATGTGCTTTGATCACAAGAAAGCAAGATAAAAATGAGATCAAGATGAAGTGAGTTTGCTTACCTGTCTGAGTTTGCGTTTAAGCAGTGTGAGGTCCCAAGAGCTGGAGAAGACGATGTCCTGACCCGGAGAAAGAGCATATACAAATGTCAGACCCCTCGACACTGCCTCACATACCAAAGCTTTCAACTGAGCTGGACACAGTGAGAGAAAGATGGAGAGAGAATGAAAAAGTGAAAGGTTTTCAGATGTGATACGGCCCTAAAAAACAATGACAGAAATATACAAATGGGCAATGTCGCAATGAGTAAAAGCTAACATCTCAAATACAGCACCTTTACGATACTAGAATCACACTATATTATAACAATACTTATGAGTCATTATTTATTATACTGAATGCAGGCAAAAAAATTATCATTTTGTATAGTTAATTATCTGAAAAAGGCATTCTGGTTAAGATATGAAAGCCTAACACACAGCAGCAGCTCACACCAATAACCGAATGGCATATAATGGCACCTAATTTAATACAATCATGTTTGTATAATAATATGATTAGGTGCCATTTAGAAATTACAGTATATTCTTAGAAATACATCTTAACAATCTCTGCTAAGATGACCAAGGCCAAGCATTTATATTCTGATTGCTCAGATTATGTTTTCTAGATATGGATATTTTTGGCCAGTAATAATAATGAAAACCTTTAGCTTTAGATAGATAAGTTAATGAAATTAAAATAGACAGATTAAATAAACACTTTAACACCGTGCTTCTATATACTATAATCTGAATAAATATTGGGACATATACAGTGCTGTATAAAACACATACCCTCTTCCTCTGCTGAATAAACCTCCCTCCATAGTAACCTGTGCTTCAGATCATCTTTAGGACCATACAGATATGTGTTCAAATTCCACATCTGCATCCTGAAAGGGACAATCAGTATCAGTTGCATTTCAGGATTTTTAAAATGGATTTTCTATCATGTTTTGAGAATATTTTGAAAGAAGAGCACAAGACACAGCAGGGAGAAAGAGAGAGAGAGAGGCAGGCAGAAAATAGAGACATACATTGATCTTGCATCATTATAATATAAGAGGTCACATTTCCTGCAGAGAATGAGTCTGACTTTAACATCAGCAAAGGGTCGATTCCTCTGCAGAGGAAAAAAGTGAATGGTCTGCCCCTCTGTGAATTTCAACTTATTTATAAAGAAAAACTGCAGGCAGTGCAATATTTAATTGTTGTTTAAATATTAAATAAAGATCATGAATACTGCACAAAATGTGCACTATTACCAATAAAGAGTTTTAACTTGAACTTTCAAGTCCCATGGGATGATTTTTCAACCAACTCATTTTTGGGAGTCTTGAGAACTTCTTACCACGCTTTTATATTTTATTTCTGCGATTGTTTTTTAAATGGCTTTAAGATTTGATTGTTTTATCCATGCCCTATATTATTTAATTATTTAAACCCAAATCTTAAAAGGCTAAATCTATAATAAAATATTACATTTTAACAATCTACATAAGGAGTGGAGTAATCATTTTGCAATTTTCCCTTAAAAAATATTATCATAAAAAGGTTATCATAATTGGAACCAACATATCAATGTGGAGTAAATTCCACAGTGTAAAATAGCAAATAAAAAAGAAAACTAGTGTGAAAACTAGTGTTAAAAGTGTTATAGGAGAGATTATTTTCTAATACTCAACAAGACAAGTACTCTAGAGCAGTGTTTCCCAACCGGGGTGCCGGTGTTTTTTAATATTTTTAAATTGCTAACATTTTCAAAAGAGCATCTATTATATAATATCCATTTCTGATGTCGCCAATAATTAGAGATGCACTGAAATTCCGGCTGCCGAAAATGAGTTCACTGCTCAGGATTTACTTTCACGTGGTGTGACGCTCTGCGTATTATCCCGCTCTATGCGTGTGCGCTCCGCTCAGTCGCTCCACTCGTATACCGTTCATGCGAATCAGAACAGCAAAGTCCACTCAAAAATTGAGCCGACAGGAAACATCGATGTAGTACAGTATTGTTTCTGTCTGCAATAGCCCTACTGTGTTGTAACATGGTGTGGTATATGGGCAACTCTGG